GGAAGCGCCGCTGTTGTTGCTGTGTGTGCTGGCGGAGGCCCACCCGGCCCCGAGCCGGACCGGTCCACAAGAATTCACGACGAGGAGGACGAGGACATCACCGAGCGGGAGGACGAGGAAGAGGACGAGGATCCTTGCAGTTCGCCAGAGCCCGACCTTGAAAACGATTCCGAACCTATGGAGATCCAAACCTCGGCTGTCACCGCGGCAGCCGCGAACCTCCACGCGCTACGCCAACACGTATTTAAGATGTCGGATTACTGGCAGCAACCGCAACGTGGTCCGCCTCAACATTCACCCGGGATACAGCATAGTCCCATCTCAAATTCGACACAGCATCAGCAGCAGGTCCAGCAGATGCACAGTCCGCTCGGACAGCAGCAGCAGCAGCAACAGCAGCAACAACAACAGCAGCAGACTGCGGTTTCGCAAGTACAGCAGAACACGAACGCGACACTCGGCCAAACAGCTAGTCCTCAACAACAGATGCAGCAACAACAACAGCAGCATGCATTGTCGATGAACCAAGCTAATCAGGGCCCACAGCATCAGTCTTCCCCAGCACCGACGACACCGTCACCACAGGCGGATCATCAAGGCGCCATTGCCTCCAGTATGGCCCAGAGTCTGCACAGCCTCGCCCAGGCGCAACAAACAATGTCGCAGGCGTCAAGTCCATCGTTGGCGGTCCAGGCCGTCCAGGCGGCTCAGGCGCTCAATCAGAACCTGGGCCAAGCGCTAACACAAGCGCTCACGCAAAACATGCAGCAAAATCTCGGACAAACCCTACAGCATAATTTGGCGCAGAGTTTAACGCCGAGTTTGTCGCCGCAACAACAGCAATTACTTAACCAGCCGCAAAATTTAAGCCAAGCGAGTCAGAGCCTGCAACAGAACATTCAAAGTCAAGCGCAGAATTTGTCACAGACGCTACAGCAGCAGGCGCAGAATCTCACGCAGAATCTTGGCCAGGCGCTTAATCAGCAAGCATTACAACAACAGGCGCAAAATCTTACGCAGAATCTACAGCAAGCGCAAAATCTCACCCAGAATCTGCAACAACAGGCGCTCAACATGGCTGGCACCATCGCGCAGAACGGTGGTCTCGCCGGTATGAACATGTCGGGCACTCAACAGCAGAATTCACAGAACTCCATGCTAAGTCCAGGCGCGACCAGTCAGGACTCCCACGACGCCACTCTCACGGAGAAGCTCGTCAACGAGTTACAGGTGAGAAACTACATATTGAATTGGAATCTCTGAATTTTACATTCGCGACTCGGAGGTGAAAAAATATTTTTTTCACCTCTGTTCTACACGCATACATTATGTACGCATGCATACGTGTCTTTTTCTATTATCTTCCGCTCTGCGAAGAGAAACGGACGGGTGTCTCGCGACTCTTCGTATCCACTGTGAGGAGAGCAGCGAGATAAATAACTAGGCCGAGGCGACCGCGATAAAAATACATAACGCACCGATAAATAGGGTCATTCACTTGCAAGCTGACAGACGCTGGACAATACTTTCGAGTGAGGTTTCTCTTCTCGCGGGGAAAAATATTTATTCAATGACGTTGGATGACAGCGTCGACGGGTCCCAAGAGTAACGCAAGATATCCCTCCTACATACATGTCGGTACTCGTTCATGTAAATAGCGTGGTTTCAATGCTTTGCAAAAATATGTCATCTCGTTCAAAAATAAGGCATCTAGTTGAAACGTGCATTACTAATGCAAAGTCTCGTTAAACAACATACCAAATGCCGATTCTAACTTATCGTTCGTGTAAGACTGCTTGCAAACGTTTGCGTGAAAAATCGGCGGAATTCGAACGCGATGGCTTTTCCGTTAATTTAGCGTCGTCTTAGAGTTACAAAAGTCACATGTCATCGACAATTTCGTCAGTTTGATTACGCGACTATACTCAGATACGCTGACCACGGTTCGTATCCAGATAGACGCACGTACATGCATACATCAATAGGGTACGTTGACTTACTATATAATACTGACTTACACGCTCGTACACGAGAGAGAGAGAGAGAGAGAGAGAGAGAGAGAGAGAGAGAGAGAGAGAGAGAGAGAGAGAAAGAGAGAGAGAATTTGCGAGTGAGAGTGTAAGCAACAGAGAGAGAGTGAGAGTGAGTGGGAGAGAAAAAGAGAGAGGGAGGAGAGGGCGAAGGCGAGGGGGGGAGGGGGAGGTAGAGAGAGGGAGGGAGAGAGAGAGGGAGAGAGGGAGGGAGAGAGAGAGAGGGAGAGAGAGAGAGAGAGAGAGAGAGAGAGAGACCGAGAAAGCACGCACGTCAAAGTAACAGTGCGGTTCGCAAATGCGAACGCGTCCCACGCACACCAATGTGGGGAGATGCAGATACGTCGTCTCCCGGGGTTCTTGACCCGCGCAACACAGATAATACCATACGCATACGTCATACGCCGGGAAGATGTTACCAAGAAAATATCGCCGTGTTTCTGCGATGGCATGGGCCGCGAAGTTTCGATGAGAGAAAGAGAGAGAAAGGAGAGCGCAAGAGAGCTAGAATGCAAGAGTATGAGAGAGAGAGAGAGAGAGAGAGAGAAGAGAGCGCAAGAGAGCTAGAATGCAAGAGTATGAGAGAGAGAGAGAGAGAGAGAGAGAGAGAGAGAGAGAAATCACACATCGTATCTCTCGACAGATAGCGGAACTTTAAGATCGTGTTAGCAAGTCTACGAGCATCGGTGATTTGTAATTAGAAAGAGACTATAAATATCATTCGTGAGAAGAACCAAGAGAATCGTAGCTATATATTATAATATACTCGAAAACATTACGAATAATATCATAAGAATCACATTTTGTATTGTAATGAGTAATATAATTATTGCAATTGCCGCAATAATTAATTTACACGTGATCGGCCTCGATCGAGCGATTCCATAACTACTTTCTGCATGTCCACACGAGATAGAAATATTCATTTCGTCACGCCATTCTCAACTTGTCATTGCCACGACAGAGCGCGCTTGTTTTTATATTCGAAGTCGCGGATTATCATTCGACGAAAAGAAGTTTTGTAGTAGTGACGGTTAGTAGCGTCAAAAGAACGACGACGATCGGGGACTAACATGAGCTATCCTATCTTGCCTGATAGTCTCGTGCCTCTGCGGCGGGGCTTGGAGGTGCAGTAGGTGCCGGCGGTGGTGGAGGAATGGGCAACATCAGCGAACGCACCCTCGAGGAATGCTGGTCTACCCTGCAGCGAGTGAGTTGAACACTCACCCCGTTCACAAAATCCTTTTTATTAAAGCTCTCCCTGCCCATACGCGCGTCCGTATCTTAAGTTCCTTGCTTTTTCTCATCAACGGCCGAAGTTTTGCCGCAGCCGTTTTTTTTTCTTTTATATTTCATTTAACTTGTCGATCCTGCACGTCGCAGACGCCGCGCTGCGTCTCACTCATTGACATTATTTTTCTTTCATTTATCGACATTCAACACTATTCAGTTCACTATATTCTGCCCGATTATAATTTCGCTTCCGCGCGAACTTCTCTGGAATTATTCTTGTTTCGTTTGCATCTCGATCGCTTTGTTCATTTATCTGTTCATCTTGATGTTATCTTATTTTTTTTATCTACTGGCATGTGTCGTATGTGTATCGCCGTTCGTTTTTGTATTTCCTCAGCTGAATGTATCGCCTTGTTCCTGTACATTGTGAAATAGTCTTACTCGTAACTGACCGCCAGCGGCGGTTCGAACGATCCTCGTTCTCGCTCACGCTCGTATACTAACGAGCGTGTCGTTACATCATACTAGAGATTTAACGGATGACACGCGGTATGCGGCGAAATGTGCGTTCCACATCATAATGTTTAACGTTTGTGTCACGCACGCGACGAGAAAGTACATTGATAAAGCGGCAATTTTTCGATCGAGTGACTAATTGCATTCATGTATCCGATCAACTTGCATCCGTACAATCATCGATATAAAATACATACGCGGCTTACTTTACGCCAACACTGTAAGCACGAAAGTACAAGAAAAGAAAGCGGTACTAACGAGCCCCGAATTACGTTAAACTGTCGACTGATGAACAGAGCGTGAGGTCCCGGAAAAGAGAGAACGGCGCGATAAAAAGGCAGGATACTTTCCCCTTCCTGCTGGAAACTTTAAAATTCTCAACCCCAGGACGTAACAACAATTTGTTTCGTTAAGTAGCCGCAGAGCTCTTTTGTTTTTGCGGCTTCTTTTATTTTAGCGGCGATAGCACCGGCGGTTGGAGTGACGATGGAAAAGGTAACAAGGAGAGGTGGAAGGAGGCAATAGGGACGCAAGAGGGGGTTGCTCCAGCACCTCGTCCTCCTGCCGTGTTCTACCTCGTCCTTCCTTTTCTTCCATCGCCACCTTAAAAGCCGTCCCGCACTGCGCGCGCGAAGCGAAACTTTCGGAAAATCGCAAAAACGCCGAGCGATGGCGAAGTTTCCACGTTTCCCCGAGATTTAATTAAAACATTCGCCTCCTTTGTGCCATCCCCACGCACCGTTCGTGGACTGTACCGTCGAAGCGAGCCATCGTCCTTTCATTTTGTCCAAGCAATGAGGACTGATATGAGTACTCGATAGATCGGACTTGATTCTTAATACTTAAATTTTGAGATATATTTTACGGATTTTGTTGAATTACTTCATCTTGCTGAATCAATGTTATAAAATATGTAACATGAAATATAAAAAGTAAAAAATATAAAAAAATAAAAATATAAAGATATGAAAATGTAAAATATAAAAAATAAAAAAATATAAAATATAAAAAATATGGCATAAAAAAAATCGCTGCACATAATTATGTTATATCGATTCGAAACTATGATAACAGAAAAATCTTAAAAAGCTACGTGCGTTTTAATTAAAATCTATAATCTTACAATCTTTTTAATCAAATTTAATTAAATTGAATTGTTTAATTAAGGATTGATAAGAATAATACATTCAGTGAATGCATTTTCCATTGTCTCCAACAATGATGCCACTCTGATAAAAAAATTTCGAGACACTTGAGGATTCATTGTGAACTCGTGGGAAAGACGAAGGGTTCCGCGGACGTAGAGAGGACGAGACGAGTGCGTCGCGATATTACATAAATATTCGCGGAGAACCGTTCTCAGGGCCGGGGGTGCACCCGCGTTTTTTTGTTCTACCCCGCGCTACCTCGAAAATTAAAATCCAATTATTTCGACGCCTCTGCTCGATCCGGGTCGGCCGATTCAAATGAATTTTTTGTCCATACTTCTCCCCAATCCGCGCTCTTTCAACGCGCGTTAAACCGGTTCGTTCGCAACAACCATTGCTAAGTTGCATCAGTCCACGATTCACCCTTGATCAATACGAGACTACGATTTCGGATCGAGCAGACAGCTGCTAGGAGAAACCAGAACCGTAAGAAAGGAGATGATGGGAAAGTGGCCAGAGGAAAGGAAAATCCGAAAAAAAAAAAACGAGTTGCTTTCCAATGAATGTAAATTATTATGACGTATCATTATCTCAATGTATAGGAAAATCTATCGATGTAACAAGTTTATATCAATTTTTTGCTCGAAAGCTAAAACATTTGTACATAATACATACATACATTTAATACATACATTTAATACATACATTTAATACATACATTTTTTAATACATACATTTTGTATATAATACATACATACATATATATATATATATATACATATATAAATTAAATTTTTTATTAAAAAAATAGAAAATGAAAAAAGATTAAAATCATAGAAATTTAATTTCTCACTTTCGATTGCTACAAAGTCGACAGATTTCTAATTATTTTAAAATATAACAAAGAAAATTAATAAAATACAAGAGCACGAAGCGTAATGATAATTACAAAGTGTATGATTTAATAGTCGAGCGCGACGCGATGGAAAACGATCAAATAATGAATACGTTCCTCTCGCTTCTCTTGCCAGTGATAGCAAAAAAAAAACAAAAAACCACATATTATCCATTTGCCAGCATAGATACTTCTCGCTCCGGCATGCAAATCTCGAGGAGTCTTTCTCACGTTGCGTCCCTTAGAGAAGCGCGAGCCTTTTTTTCTCCTCATGCCCGGAAGGTTCCCGTGTACTATTTAAATAACGGTTCTTGCGCGCGTGTCATTGTTTCTCTCTCAGTGAGTAACCCTTCTGGTTACCGGGGAAAGGCAGAGGAAAGTGGAGTGGGGTTGTTCTGTTTCAAGTCGAGGAAGAAAACTGAAAGAACGAAAGGCGGGAGGAGAGGGAAGGGGGTCAAGTTCCGTGTCGGATAGCCGTTACGGCAAAGACAGAATTACGATGTCTCAAGATGAGGGGTGCCCTCCCCTCCTTCATTTCACCCCCCTTTCGCTCGGTCCCAAGCGGATCGTCACGGAGTTTCTTAGCTTTTCAGTAATTTTCTATGATTTTCGGATCGCATGATCGACAACAATAACGCGCGCGCATCCGCGGCCTCTTCGAAATCGGCCTAATCGAATGCGTTCGATTGCTCGCGAAAATCGATGAATCTGGAAGAACGGTGGGTGATAATGGCGATGGAGATTTATTTCAGAAATCTAATTTTCTCGAAGAAGAGGAAAACATTTCTTACGAAAACATCGTCTAAAAGTAACAACTTCGGGAACAACTTCGAGATACTATTTCGTGTATTCTTAATAAAATATAAAATCAGAAAAACAACGACGCGTAAAAATGAAATATAGCTATAATAAAGTAATTAATAAAAAAGTATATAATAAAATAACAAAGTGATACTAACGGTAGTGTTCACGAAAGACTCGAAACAACAGACTCTTCACATTGAGATAATGATACGCAGCCCCTAATAACTTTCCATTCCGTTTCCGCGAATAATCGAAACCGTGGGTACATTCCGCGAGTGAGCAGCATCAAAGCACAGCTACCGTTCGCAAATAACATGTCAAAATTGCATGATTAGTACAAAGAGTCGTTTACAGATAGAGAAAGGTGGAAGACACGTACGTCGCGACGAGCCTCCACGTGCATACGATTTCTTTCCTCTCTCACTTTCCTTCCCCGATCTCCCGGTTTTTCATATGCGGCTTCGCCATGACCTACCCCAAACAAACCACGAGAAAAAGAGAAAAGAGAAGCGGCAACGATGGTGAGGCCGCGAAGGAGGCGAGAGGCGCGGGAGGGGGGGGAGGCGCGCAGCAAAGAAAAAGAGAAAAAGAAAGAAGAAAGAAGGAGGAACGAGAGGGACGGAGAGAGAAAAGAGAGGATGGAAGAGAGCAGCATTCGCGCCCACACACGGCCGAGAGATTGCAACACGGGATGGCAAGGAGTAGAGAGCTCCCCTCGTGATGAGAAAAGGAAGAGCGCGCGCGAAACGAGGAGGGGTACGCGGAACGGAGTTTATTCTTCATGCTTTTTTTTATCGTTCGTTGACTCCGCGCTCCTCTGCAGCCGCGACGAGAGCGCAGCGCACTGCTCCACGATAAGATTGCACTCACAAGGGCGGCCGGGAGAAAGAGATAGAGAAAACCTTGTTTCACGACAGAGAGCGAAATCCGCCCGCGCACGCCACTTATATTACGTTTCAACGCGCATATCGCGGAAATATCTCGTCGCGGTAGGTTTGCCTAAAGTTCACGGAATATCGGAACGGCACGGACAGATTTTCGTTCGATTATTACCCGACTTTCGCGAGAATTTGCGATAATATTCAGAGTAAAACGACGGAGAGACACGTGTTGCACAATTATCGTGCTCAGAACAGAAATATATGGACTATTCTAGAAGCGCGAACTCCTTTTTAATGATGTATGCATATATATCAACAACAGCCATGGTATTTCCGTAATGATTACATACATTACACGGCAAAGAAGACAAGAAAACAGAAGGGTGCAGAGCACGTCGTGAAAATATTAGTTCTCCAATAATAGACGGGCGAAACTTTTCCGGTGGCCCACGCGAATATTTGTTGCGGGCAATTATGTCAATTAGCGGCACGTATTCGCGCGACGAACCAGCGAATTCGTTATTGAGCGGAGCATGCGAGTCCGCGCGAAACTCGCCGCGAGCGAGTAAAGGCGACGACGAAACACACACACTTCGCCGAGGTGACTGACCTCAAAGTTTCCCATAATGCATGCGCGATTATAGGGCAACGTAGGGACTGCACTGTTTTCGGCCTTGTGCACGGAACAATATTACTCAATATACGTCACGAGCGTATGTCGCTCATCTATAAA